AGTGCTGGACCTGAATTACAACAACCTCCAGGATTCAGGAGTGAAACTTCTGTCAGCTGCACTGACAAATCCAAGTTGTATGCTGCAAACTCTGAGGTCAGATCAAATAATGTTTTATTTTTCATCAAATTATATAATTTGCTGTTTTATAAAAAGCACAGCAAATAATGGTCACCATCAGCAATCCGTTGGTGTCGTTTACTATTTTTCACAAGTTCTAAATACTAAATTAACACATTTCTGATGTGTTTAAAATAAGCAGTAATAATTAAAGCCTGTCCTGAAATAATAGTAAATGTTATCAAATCTAATAAGTCGTCATTGCACCACCAATACACTTTAATTTCAGTGTTTTTGTTTCTGTGTTCATTTTTCAGACTGAGTGTTTGTAACCTCTCAGAGAGAAGCTGTGAAGCTCTGTCCTTAGTCCTCAGCTCCCAGTCGTCTAGTTTGAGAAAGCTGGATGCAAGCAACAACAACCTGCAGGATTCAGGAGTGAAGCTTCTTTCTGTTGGACTGCAGAGTCCACATTGTACACTGGAAACTTTGAGGTCAAATTAAGGACCGTTTATTTTTTATCAAATGAAATTATTTACAGTAAAAAAGAATCATAGCTACTAATTATCAGTTTCATCATTGTATTATAAAATTCCCAACTCTTCAGTACTCTATCAATTCACTTTAAACCCGTTTTTTGGTCTTTTGCTCTTTATTTCTAGACTGATTGGCTGTAACCTCACAAAGAAAAGCTGTGAAAGTCTGTCTTCAATTCTTAGCTCCCGGCCCTGCAGTCTAAGAGTGCTGGATCTGAGTTATAACAACCTGCATGACTCAGGAGTGAAGATTCTGTCTGCTGGAGTGAGAAGTCCATACTGTAAACTAGAAAATCTCAGGTCAGGATTAAATCGCTTCTACTCAGTATCATTTAACATGTGTATGACATTACTGAATGAGTTACTAATGCTTATAGAATTGTGAGATATTTTAGTTTCCCTTGGTTAGAGTTTAATAAGACTCTGAACTGTCTGTAAAGCTTTACCAAGACAAGTAAAAACAGAAGTGTGCTCCAGCAGATGTGATATGGTTTTGGTGCAAGCTGCCACGTGACAGGACATTGTATGAGCATTATGGATCCTTTAGTTTTAGTCTTCATCTTTCACATCCTTCCCTCCTGTGAAGTGTTCAAAGATAGATTGTTTTGTGTGTCTGCAGTCTGTCAGGCTGCCTGATCACAGAAGAAGGCTGTACTTCTCTGGCCACAGCTCTGCGATCCAACCCCTCCTATCTGAGAGAGCTGGACCTGAGCTACAATCATCCAGGACACTCGGGAATGAAGCTGTTGTCAGCTGGACTGAAGGATCCACGCTTGAGACTGGACATTCTTAGGTATGGAGAGAATGTCTGATAGAGGTGGAAGAGCTGGAAACATTTCCTGTGTCCTTCACTCTTTGTTTGTTTTTATATGGATGTGACATGAATAATAACACTAAAGAAATATTTTCAGGAACAGAAACACTAATCTATCTGAATGATTAAGATATTAATGTAAGGGAGTTTACAAGGAGACATTTTTCACAGGATAACTGTCTTTTGCTCTTCACATATTCACAATTTGCATCGACATCTGCATGTTTAATAGTTCAGTCATTTTAAAGAAAAATGATCTTCTGTTCGACCTGATTCAAATTAGATTAATTAATTAATTAGATTAATCTCTCTACAGAAACATGCCTCTGACAAGATCAGCCTAACTTCATAAAAAGACTGGAAGCAGGGCAATTTGTTTACCTAGCTTGACCAAAAGTTGAAAAATTAATCATTTGTAAATTGTTAATAAAGCTAACTCTAGTAGAACCTAACAAGAACAGCATAATGCTAAGTGTTATTATAAATTTAATTAACATAAGGAAGACAGGATAAAGACATGCTGTGGAAGAGAGACAGAGATAAATAAAAGTTTTTATTCAATGCAGAGAGGTCTATTAACATATAGTGAGTGAGAAAGGTGACTGGAAAGGAAAAACTCGATGCATCATGGGAATCCCCCGGCAGCCCACAGAAGAGGGACCTGATAACTGAAGGCTCTCCCTCCCATTCTACTTTTAACAACAAGTAAGAACAAGTAGGCCTGCAGTGCGAGAGTGAAGTGCTCTAATAGGGTGATATTAGAGGGGGGGCGCAGAGCCATTGCAAGGGGGCACGAAAAAGGGGGAGAAAAAAACAAAACGCTTGGACACTGTTAGCACGGGGCGGCCACAGAAACGCAAAGCAGGAGATGAAGCATAGCTGAATATGTTTCCAAACCAACTTCATTCTAAGCCAAAGACTAGAAAATCTGGTGAAGCAAATCTTGCCTTTGGTTTCACCTTCACAAGTGCCGAGGTAGGTCTCCTCAGCAGAATTGGTTTTCGCTGGGCTCTTCAAATCATGTACAAACAGTATCCCACATTCTTGATTTTTAGTTCACAAACACTTGTTGTAATGACTAACTACTCCTGAAAATTTGGAGATTGTACAGTTTTTACTAAGCTAACTACCTTTAATTTAGTAAACTCCCACCGTAAGGGTGTGTTTAACTGATGAAAATGTGTCGTACTCAGGCTCGGACACCTGATTGCTGCCTTTTATAAGTTTTATTACACAAGCATAAACTAACACCAGTACAGTAACTGTGCCTTTACAGAAGCCAGGTAATCAACTGAAAGACACAAAATAAAACAACCATACAACA